ACGAACGTATGCAATTTGTGTTTGTGGATAAATTGTAGTTCTGCAATATATAAAGCAAATATAATGTTGCCAATGCGTTTTTGCATTCTAAAATTTATTCATTTCCGAAAACATTTTTTTCATCGTAATCTTTATTATCATTTATATTATTGTAATGGTATGATCGCCTATAATTAAAATTGAGGACTTATAAATTTGAGGAGCAGATGAAATCGTAACGTGATGATAACTGTTATGATAAATGCAAAGATAATGAGGTTTAATCTAATTAGTTGTAGAAAGTATAGTAAGTTATTGAATAGAATTACACAAAATATTTTACTTTCTATTTGTTCTTAATTATGGCATTTATTCGTTCTAATCTAGCGGCTGTTGAATCTCGGAGAGGTGGAGTGATAATAACGAGAGAGAAAGAAATTTTAACATCACAAAATCTTCTGACGCTGGCTTTTATTTTCAGGTATCTGTGCATCCTTCGAATTGACAAGAGACGGCTCTCAAAAATCTAACAGAGGCGTGCGATTTCCCTGCATGAATTGTACGAGCGTGTATAGTACGAAGGGCAGCCTGACGACACACTTAAAATATGAATGTGGCCAGCCGCCTCGATTTAAGTGTCCCTACTGCGACCTCGTCTCGAAGAAGACGTCCAATGTGCAGCAGCATATACGAAGGAGACACAAGGACCGCGTCGTTTACGTCCAAGATATCACTCATCCGTCCAATATCCGATATAACATACATGTTGTTCGTTAAGCGTTGCAATAATAAATACGATATTTTATTCTGAATTTCACAATAATCCTGAGCAAGTTTTAGTGTCGTTAATATTGATTATCCGAATCAGTCAACAAATCACAATCCTTATCCATTAATCAGTTTTGTCTCTATATTTCGTCCTTTCGCGGACTGAAATTAGATGAAGATTCTCCAAATAATTTGAGGTCATTTTTCCAATCATTTGTGATATCTTTAAAATTCTTAATTTTTAGATTTATTTATTATTATAACATACTGTCTTTTTTTATATGAACTTAATTAATCTTTTCATTATTGTTGCCTACAGGCATTCAGTACTTTATATTTCGAGTATTTAGTATCTAAATTGTTTATGCTTTGTTTTATTATAATTTATGTTAATATTTATACTAAAAATTTGAATAAAAAATAGGAATCGATTAGAACATTTTTAAAATTTAATTTTTTTTAAATTATAAAACAATTCAATGTTTTCTAAATATTTTCTAAAAAATGTGTTGGAAGTCACTGTGACGCTCTATAGCGTCGATCGCTGCTGAGCGTCTATTGTCTACAATGTGTGTTTTGCACTGAAATATTTTACAATAAAAGGATTAAGATTCTCTCAAATTGAGGAACCGGAATTTTCTCGCCAGTCATAAATATGTAATGTGTCTTTGTTTCGGTGCTTGGAAATCAAGCTGCTCTTGCTCAATCTCTCTTGATATCGGGTGATAACGCGGGTGTTATCATCCTCTAACAAGACTTGTACTTTTAGTTTTCAGGTCTGGCAAGAGGACAAATATTCAGAAGTATTCCTGTTCGAATTGTACGGGCGTGTACTTGAGACGACAGGGTTTGCGGGAACATCAGATTTACGAGTGCGGCCAGTCACCGAGATTTCAATGTCCTTACTGTGATCACCGGTCGAAACTGATATCGAATCTTTACAAACATGTGCGCCGTAAGCATAGCGGCGAGGTAGTCTGGTCGATCGACCTGAAGAAGTGAAATTTGTTCCGTGAGACGCACTCCGTTTCAACGTCATTATCCGCTATTAAATCCCATTGTTGTATTATCAAATGATACAAAATTACTTACGACTGATAACTTTCTCCATTGAGATAACAATTGTAACGGTAGACAGATGTGAATTCCTCCGCGTTTTTATTACGATAGAAATGTAACTTCTCTACTTTAATCTTCTTTAATCTCTTTAGTCTTCCCTTAGCCTTGTTCTTAATCATCGGTTGGCTGAGTACTCATCACGTATTGACTGTTCGTCGCGTCTTGCACTCCTCTCTTCTGCTTGCAGACAAGATCTTTCCCTTCGACCAGCCGTTCTTCGGTCAAGATGTGTCCGGGTTGTATGCGATACGGCACGAAGCCAGGTTTCCTTGCCCAAACTGCATCAGCGTCTTCAACCGGAAGAATAATCTCAACAAGCACCTCAAATACGAGTGCGGCCAGTTGCCAAGGTTCAAGTGTCCGCACTGTCTCTACCGTTCGAAGAAAACCTCTAACGTTCGTGCTCACATTCGCGGACTTCATTCCGGTTGCGAAGTTTACGTAATCGACCTGAATGCGAGTTGTATTTAATTTCAAATGTTCATGCAAGATTATTTTTTAAATAATATGAATTTTGCATTAGCTTGCTGAATTAGACAAGATATAATTGAAAGATCATAACTTTTGTATAACCTTTATACTATTATATTATAACATAATTTTGCTAATTAAGGAGATGGACGGAATAAAGGCCTATAATTACAAAATCTTGATATTATTAAAAATTAAAATAACTTGCTACTTTTCTTATTGTACATAAATGGATACAATATTAAATGAATTTATGTAATGTCTTTAAAAAATTACATGTTATAAACTTCTATTACGATCAATATTACATGAAAAAGCTAATTGCCGGAAAAAGGGCCTAAGTAGAATTGTGCCTTTATTTTGCCCATCCCCTCAATTATATATAAATATGCAGATTGTGAATTAAATCGTATTTACATATGTATGGATTTTATTAAGCGCACCATAGGAAGATTTATTCAACTTGGATACCAAACTTGTCTGTGACTCACATTACAATATTTCGATATAATCAATGACTGTGATTTTCCTTGTTTTTTCAACATCTCTTCCTCTTATCTTTCTTCTTCTATTATCTATCGACAGACAGCGAGTTTCTCTTGTAAACTCTGACAAGTTCCGAACGTTTTCTTGCAGATGTATGTCTGGTACACCTGGGCGGTTTCAAGATGCCATCCAGCATGAAGACTCAACCTCCAGACAGGTTTCCCTGTCCACAATGTTCGAGCATCTTCAGTCGGAAGAACAATCTTTATTCGCACTTGAAGTATGAATGTGGGAAGCTGCCGCGATTTCGCTGTCCTTATTGTCTATATGCTTCGAAGAAAGCGTCCAACATTCGCGCCCATATACGCAGGAAGCACAACGGCTCCGAAGTCGACGTGATCTACGTCTAATTTCTCTAATGCCGTCACCGAAGAAAAATTTCGCTGTCTGTCGAATCACAAGACTCTTTTATGTGTAACATCTAAAATTAACTAATATTGAATGTCAGATCTGATATAGAATAACACACATTTGTTAATTCATTGATAGTCTTTAATTTCTATGTTTCTTCTTAGTTTCGCCACACGGACGCGATATACGTATATCCATCCATCGTTCTTCAGAATAAAGCCACAATGAAGTATACTCATGTCATTTCGATTATTGTCGCTTGCTCTTATTACTTCTCCAGGAAGAATATAGCGTTCCTGATCGCCTCTCCTCCGTCCAATCATCAACAATGTCTTTGCGCATGAAGACAACACCCTCACTTATCACGTTATGATTATTTGTGAAGAAGGTTTGATATGCACATATTGATCGTTTCCAATTTCCCTTCCTGCTATCGGGTTTTTTTAATGTCGGACATATCGTGTGGCGATATGAGGAGCTTTGACGCGAGCGACGCGTCTTTTTTGTGTTTCAGGCTTGAGTTTCTGTACGTTAGCCGCAATACCACCTGGTAATACGCGGAGCTACGTTCTCCATTCATATCCATCGTCGATGATGACCACGGCAACAACAACGATGCGGACGATCAAGATCAAGGATGTGGCCAAGAAGAAATTTCCCTGCACAAAATGCAACAGTGCTTTCAGTCGCAAGGGCGGTCTGACCTACCATCAAAGAAATGAGTGCGGCCAGGAGCCGCGATTCAGCTGCCCATATTGTGTCTATCGCGCTGGACACGTCTCGAATGCGCGTCGACACGTAAAGAAATGCCATCCTGGTCAGCTTGTGTATGCGATCGATCTGGGCAAGTTGCAGAAACGCGACCCTTGAGATCAGGCATCTATCCGAAAAATCGGTGTCATCCCCGAAGAACAACAATTTGTGAAGATCAAAAGAATCGGATGGCACCACGAAACACGACGCCGAACATTGTGCGAAGATGCTCCACTCGTCGAAGCGACGCAACTGGGAAGAATGGTAGAAGATCTTACTTCTTTTTATTTTTGATTCGGTATTGTTCGCGATTGTACGAAGAATACCATAAAAGCGTGAGGGTAGACTATATCATATGAACAAGGATATATCTGGTTTTTTTTCCAGGGATACAGGGCATCTTCGACGTCCATCCGACTATTTTCATTTCGCTTAGTCGACCTGAAGAGTTGAACTGCGAGGACGGATCTGCGAGGAAGATAGTTGTGGATTGTGTGTATTTCATTTGTGTCTCGATAAAATTATTTGTGACTGTCACTATTTAAGGATGATATATAACAGAGGTGTGTTTTCTCATTAGAATCGCAGCGATTTATACGTGAACATTAATTAATAGCGAATTTGTAAAAGATTGCAAATATCTCTGTTAGGAAATATAGCAAACTATTATATTAATCGTTTTTATATGCGACGGTTACTGTTGTTAACTGTGAAATAAGTAAAAAATTTTCGATTATATGTGAAAATTTTGAGAAATTTTATTATCTACAAAAGAATTCTCTGTGCGAGAAAATGTTATTTAGCATAATTTTTTAATGTAAATTAATCATTAATATCTCAGTGCAGTATTATTTTATTGTTTATCATTACAAATAATTTATGTACATTAAAAACTTACAAATTTGTTGTTCAATAATATTGAAATAATTGCCGTTGTTTTTATTTCTCTAAAACTATATCTCATAAAAATAAAAACCTTATAAAAACAAAAAAGTCTTATATAAAAGTCTTATATAAAAATAAAAAAATTGTAAAATAGTGTTTAATCTAATATGAAATATGATAGTATAATGCAATAATTAAGCTCACAAAATGTGCATAAAGTTTTTAAATTGCACGTGTAGCTTAAAAATCTCGTTGAAATAGATACATATCTCAAATTGTATATAAGTTTATGAGCCAAATTATTTGTGATAATTCAGTATTATTACATTAAGGTACATTTTTTTAAATCATTGTTTAATAATTTATATTATTTATTGTCAATTTTATTTAGAAGAGAATTTAAGTTCATCAATTTTTAGATTAATATTATTACTTACACTTTTTACCATACATTTGTAAAACTATGACTGGTTCATTCAACGAAACTTAGTTTTTATTCTATGCAATTGCGGAACTATATATGTTGTATGTAACAAATAAAATATTATTAAATTTTAATAATGCATTCCTTCCTATCTAAAATCCTTCTGTCTTCTTAACTTTGCACATATACGTATTTATCTTCATGACTTATGTACATATGCACCAATGAGATTGGAAAGCATCGAATGTACAGCTTCCAAAATGAAATAATTGATGATGGTTATCATTATTTATATTAATACTATATTTAAAGAAAAAGTTGCTCTACAAAATTAAAGTGATTGCTAGAGTCCTAGAGTCGCGAAATGGAGCGCTGAAAATTTTCCGATCTCAAGCTCGGCCTCGACGTCTCGGCGATTTTGCAGAGTTCGGCGCAGATTACCGAATCGCATCGAGGTCTTTGCAAGCCGGCAAAGGCTTTTTCTGACGTGATGTTCCTCTCGCTTCTGTTTCAGACTGTATTCTGCCAGTGATCTACGGACATGAATTTGTGTCCGTTGTGACAAAGGAACAACCGACGTACTGCCCAATCGTCATCGACAGCAATTTTCTCGCCGAAAAGCCGAAGTTCCCCTGTCCTAAGTGTCCGAGTGTCTTCAGTCGCAAGAATAATCTTTATTATCATGCGAAATTCGAGTGTGGCCAATCGCCGCGGTTTAATTGTCCTTACTGCACTTATCGCACGAAACACGTATCGAACGTTCGTGCACATGTGCGCAGAAAACACCCTGGCAATAAAGTATACGCCATCGACGTGTGCAAAGTAGGCTTGTAATATAAAATCAAGGTTTAATGCAGGTGTAGAATTTTTTTCTTTTTGATGGGAAGGGACTCTATATTCACTTCTTGCACATAATCCTAAAGAGATGTGATATTATCTTTCATTCCGATTAGTTATAATACAAAATTTATTTTCATTGTTTTATGTTCTATTTATTCTTCTGAAATGGTTACATAAGCTACCTTTTCATAAATTTGAAACACATTTATTATAAAAGAATTAATTCTTTTATAAAATCTATTTATAAATCTATTTATAAATCAAATCTATTTATAAAAGAATTAAAACGAATAACATAAAAATAATGTGTTTTAAAATATTAATTCTAAGATGTGTGTGTGTGTGTGTGTGTGTGTGTGTGTGAGAGAGAGAGAGAGAGAGAGAGAGAGAGAGAGAGAGAAATACGTATTAATTTAATATAATAAATGTTAATTCTACTGAAAAAGCTTCCATGGTTTGTTTACTGTATCAATATTACTTTTTTTGTATTTATTTTTGAAAACAATATTTTATATATACAATTATTTTATATATATATATATATCTTGTATTCATCTTGTTTTAAATTAACACAAATTGAAGTAGACATGTAAAATATGTTGAATTTAATATAAATCTTCCAATGATGTAATCATTTGATTTCAGAAGAACAAATAGAAAATAATGATAATAAATTAAAAATTTCTCTACAGCAAAAATTTTATTGAACTTGTTAATGTATTGTTAGTGTATTAAAATTTGGATATTATATATACATTTAAATTTTTATTAAAAGAATCATTACCTGAAATTAAAAATATAGATTTATTACTACTCAAACTTTGGATATTTAGAAATGTTCTCGTAAAAAAATATTAATTACTTATGAAATAGAACATTTCATAATTTTTTTTTGTGGGAAAAAGATAAGATTTTTTTGTAATTTTAGTGAAGAATTCATGAATTAATTAGAAGTCAATTTTAATTAAATATATGTATATATTTTTAAGATATAAAATTGCGTATTGTATTCTGTATGACATTTCAATTATTATTTATTTATACAATGTAAATAGTCATGAATTTCTTTATTGTCTTCCATGTAATGAAATTGCGATGAAAATTCCACGTTTCATCATTTTTAGTATTGATAAGGAAAGTAATATTCTTGTGCAGCAATCGTTATGAACAAGCGTATTTATATATTTAGCCATATACAATATAATCTATATAAATATTTATATCTTATTATATTTATATATAAAAGAATTGATAGAATAATCCGATAATTTATAAATACTCTAGTTTCTCAATGTATATATAGATCTTTTATAATCTACTGTGTTATTTTGTACCATTTTTTTTGTACTTTTTATTATTTTTTATGCTACAATAAATATAGGCGATTATGCGTTCGTAAAATTAGTAGTTTATACATCGACTTTACTTCGCAATTAATTTAAATATTCTCGATTTTAACTTATGTTTTAGACCTTTTCTGTTGTTATTCTTAAATATTGGCTAAATCATTGATAGTTTCGCATCGCTATTTATCTAGTAAATTTCTATGCCTTCGTTCGTATCGAATTTTTTTCTTTTGTAATAATTCGCCATCCATTCGCGTTGTAAATGTTAACTGATGATTAACGCGGCTAATCAATAGGACGTCTGCATTTTTCAGAAGACAAGTATTCTTCGAGGAGTGCGCGACGCAGATGCGGCATGAATCGATCAGTCCATAAGGCCCAACGGCAGACTTGCAAACAGGTGTTTTACTGTCCGAGATGCGGTGGATCCTTCAATTGGCGTTACAATCTCCAGCATCATCTCAAGTTTGCGTGCGGCCAATCGCCGCGATTCAACTGCCCGTACTGTCCCTTCCGTACGAAGCATACGTCGAACGTACGGGCCCACGTACGCAGAAAACACCCCGATCATGAGGTCTACGTCATTGACATCCTCAGCTGGCAGCAACGTGGCGAGTCGACGTCCGTCTCGTGAACGACTTGTCAGTGCAGCGACGTGGACTTTCTTCAGAATAAAAGACATCGTCTTCAATCGAGTCACGGTAGTTTTGAAAGTATTGCCTTCCTCGTGATATTCTTCCTCTCGGTGGAAGACCCATGTTCTGTCTGTGTCGTTAATGTGGCGAAACGAGTGCGTTGGATACTTATCGCACGATTAGTGATCTAACAAGAGATTTAACGTTTATTTTGTTGATGTCGTTTACGAGCACTCGAGAAGACTGCTGCCAGTCCCTCTCTATCTCACTATCTTTCTTTCTTTCTTTCTTTCTTTCTTTCTTTTTCTCTCGACGACTGAAATGGATATAAAGGCAAACTAGTGATTTAGCTATAACCATCACGGGCTCTGGATGACGAAGACGTTCTGTGTTTTTTTTTTGCAGCATCCGAGTCGGTGTCGACACGCACGTGGCGGAAAGACTATAATCGGTTGGTCACGAACAAGAGCATCACCTCATCACGCGAACAAAACGCGAAATCGTTTCCCTGTGGCAATTGCAACAGCGTGTTCAGCATGAAGCACAATCTTCAGTATCACTGGAGGATTGAATGTGGTCAACCGCCGAGGTACAATTGTCCCTACTGCGCCTACAGGACGAAGCATCCGTCAAACGTGCGTGCCCACGTACGCCGTATACATCCTGGCAACAGGGTCTACGTAGTGGATATACACAAGACTGATATTCCGCAATTCTTTTAAATCTTTTCCAAGCCTGAAGTCCATTTATCGTCGATGTGTTTGTTATTTATTTAAGTCGTCTATGCGACGACGCCTGACGTTGCTCTTATAAAATACATCTTTTAAAATGTATTTCCGAATGATTGGATGGTACTGTTTTTCTTCTTTACACTGCGCCTAATTATATATTTATTTCTTTTTGTTTGTTGTGTATTTTGTACGCGATTACAATGAAACGTTCAGAGTTTTAGTTTAAAAATATAAAGAGTATATTTATTATACACACGTGAAAATATTTTAGATAATTTGGCAAAGTGTTTGTTAATGTTTCATTTACACAATTTCTTTCTAATTGACTGCATTGTTTTATCATCTCTCTCTTTTTATAATGATAATTTTTTACATAAAATGTCATAAAAAGAATTTATGTTGTGTATATAGAACACGAAACATAGAAAAATTTATTTGAAGAGAATGAAACTTTATATATGTAATAATGAGAAATTGAATTTCTAATTAACATGGCATTTTTTGAATATTTTATGTCTTTTATGTTTTTTTGTGTAAGCCTGACTAAAATATTGTAATATACTAATAAATAACGCTTTCACACAGAACTTCACATTTAGAACTTCACTATATCCTTTTATGTGTGGCATAGTCAATAGTCTTATATAGTAGAGTTTATCAAAAAAATTAATAAATTAATGGCTAAAAAATAAAAAGCCTACTTTTTTATTTTATTTATTGATTTTGTACAAATAACAGATCTCTATATTTAGATCTGTTAATTAAGAGATCTGTTATTCGACATATCCTAAGGATGACCTAAGAAGAAATGGATCGCGAAACGTTGTGCATCCGCGCTGAACACATTTTGCTGCATATTAATTTTTTTTCGATGCGGGAACCCGCGAGATTGTTTAAGTTTGAGTTTTCGCCCCGAGTTACGTTGTGAAATTTTCTGTTCCCAGAGATTCGACCGGTCGCCATGCAACGATTTCACGCGCATTCCAATCAATGTGTCTACAATCTTGATGGAGTACAGCAAAACAGGAATTACCCCTGCCACAAGTGCGGCAACGCGTTCACGCGCAAGAACAATTTGTATAATCATCTCAAGTTCCAGTGTGGCCAGTTGCCGAGATTTAACTGTCCATACTGTTCTTATCGTACGAAACACTCGTCAAACGTGAGGTCCCATATTCGCAGGATACATCCCAACGAAAATGTCTACGTTCTCGATATGAGCACGAAACAGGATCATCAGCCAAGATGAATGATACAAATTTTGCAAGCCTTCCTTCCTTTTATAAGATCATCCATAAAGCAAGAAGTCTCGAAGCAATTGTGATATCAATCAAATGAACGATCATTCATTGATTTGTTGTTTTATCAGTATGCTTTATTTATTTTACGTAGTCGTTTATGTCATATGTGTCAATCTATTAATTGCTATTTATTGTTATACATTTATTTTCGTTTAGCAATTTTTGCCTGTTGGCGATGTAATTGATGTCATCAAGATTGAACTTAAAAATTATACTTGATGTTAAAAAATTATACCTGATGCAGGATATTTGAGAAATTACTTATTTGTAAAATGCATTATATAATATATTTATTTTTGCAATATGCCTGATGATATATGTAGAATTTAATAATGTACCGAATTTGATGTATAACTGAATAAATTTTAAACATTTATCTATGTTATTCTATCTATGTTATTCTGTAATTCTGGTGAATTTTAGAAGTCTGATTTCTTATAGTTACCAGTGTAACTCATACCATCTTTAATCTTTTATTAACGTATTTAAATTAATGCATGTCAGACAATCCGTTTACATGTGATAAAATATGTATATTTATATAAAATATATATATTTATTGTAGGCTTTCAATTAATATGGTGCTTATAATATGATATTAAATAAAAATCAACAGAGAAGCATCAGAGTATCTTTTTGTATTTTTTAAATAATTGTGGAAGTTAATACACCAAATTTTATGTAATTGAATAAATTTTAAGTGTTCAGTTATCTATATTGTTCTATGATCTTAGCAAATATTTTTTTAAGACTAGTTTTTCAAAGTTACTAACTCATATTTTCTCAAATTTTTTAAATAAAGTTTACATGATGCTTTTTTACTAGCAGTTAGTACAGTTGCACGTTAATTGTTAGTAAAAAAGCATTGTCATCATGTTAAAATGCTGATAAGCTTTCTTCTTTCAACTAACGCACTAGTGAAGTTAAAATATTTCGACTTTACAAGCGCGCTAGTATTGTATTTTCTGCTAGTTTCTGAAAGTGCTATGTGGGTTGCAAATAGCTGCTTTCAGCCATAAACAAAGAGATATTTGAAATATTAATTTTAAAAACTATAAGCAACAACAGTTTTTCAAATTTATGTACAATTATACACATTATATTTTTATGTATTATTAGAAGCATTATTAGAAGCAAGTTCTTATGAAATGGCTGAAGCACTTAATGTGTCTCTGTTAAAAATCTATTTTTTAACTTATATCCTATCTCTTTAATAAATTAAAGACAAGAATACGTAAGGAAATAGGAGTCAACACGGTACTTTTTGGGCAAATATAATAATAAAAAGTCTAATGCCAATCATCTACGGCACTATGGTCTTGCACGATTGAATTAATATGCTCAATTTCGTTGAGAATACTTGAAGTAAGTCGAAATTATACGAATATTAATATTTGTCATTTGACATGGATTATTATACTTTTTATTATTATATTTATTATTATTTGCGCACAAAGTATAACGCTAACTCTTACTTCCCTATGCATTCTTGTCTTCAATTTGTTAAATACATCGAGGAATCTTATATTTATTTTTTTTCATTATTGTAAATATCCTATTTAATCATATTCTTTAATCTCTTCTTTTCTTTCTTTTTTTTAAATATTACTGGCAACATAATTACAATGTTTTTATGTTTTATAACATTATTTATGTAAATAAAAAAGAATATATTAAGAGACGCTTCACAAATACATATACTGTTAAATTTATAATGTCAAATTTAAGATGAGTCGCCGCTGTTCCTACTCAATTCGTAACTCAACATCATATTTTATACTAAAACAATGGTTATATTTGACACTGTATAAAAATTGTCAAATTTAATTATCATTTTAGTATAAAATAACGATATTTAATAGGAGCAGTGGCGACTTCTTCATATTATTATTATAGATTAAATTTATACATTTATTATAGATTTAACAGTGTAGTTTTACTAGCATTATACGTACAAAATTATATTTTTATAGCTGCTAGTTTTCTAGCGCGCTAGAAGACTAGCACGCTAATTGCTAGTAAAAAAGCATTGTATAAATTCTTATTTATTAAGATATTTGAATTGATGCATTTTGATTAATATAGATAAACTGTGTCCCTACAAATAATAAGTCTTCTGTTACAGACATTAAACCCTGCTACATTCGGCTTTCTCCGATCCCGCAGGAATACAGTCGTCCACTCCAGCACCATAATCACTTATTGCGTAAAAAGTTCTTTTGTTCGAATAACTGCGGACGTTCTTTCGGAACTGTAGCTTCTATGGCGAGGCATTTGCACGAATGCTATGATCGTTATCTACAGCATTTCAAGTGTCCGTTCTGTAATTATCATTCAAGCTCGGCTTTCTACATTTATAATCACGTGCACAAACGACATGTAACGAAGGACGAATAATACTTAGAGATTCTTGTTTTTACAGTGAGAGTAAAAAGTATTCGTATAAGACAATTTGTTATAAAAAAAAGCCTTATTTGTAGAAAATAAACATTAATTAATTAGCAATTTTATACAATGAATACATTCTGTTCTAATATAAACAAACAAGCTTCATATATATTCCTAAGAGAGATTTTAGAAGCTAAATTTCTCGTCTGTACGAATACTTTTTGAACATTCAAACAATACAATTTTTAATTTTCGCTTATTTTTCAGATGATATATTTTGTATAATTAATACACATCTTTTTGGTATATATAATTTTAAGAAACATACAATCTTATTTTATTCTTTATGAATAAATTGTTAATTATCCAACAAGAAATGATTGTCAATTAAACGTCGATATTATTTGATTGATATTGAAATCATCGTATATCGATTCGACATCAATTTGATCTCATTTTTCGCTGGATAATATTTACTTTTTAAAAATAAAGTTTTTTTTAAAAAATATTTTCTTTGTACGAATATTTTTTGCACTCACTATATTTGATGAGCACAGATTTGTACGAAATATAATTTTTGCGCGAATATTTCTAATGGATCATTTTCAGAGAAGTTGTATTTCTAGATTTTATTTTTTTATATTCTCTCTTGTACATTTTATTTTTTTTCATATATTTTTCTTTTTTGTTATCATAATGCCATACATTGCATTATACTTAAATATGAAACAAAATTAATTATATAAGCATCGAAAAATAGTGTGATATAATTATTTTTCAAAATAATTATTCAGGAATTGTATTTTGTTTCTATTTCGGACACTCTGTTTACATGTCGATGAAATATATTGTTAGGAAACCGACTTTTAATTAATTATGATGTTTATAATCAATCGAAAGCGTTATTAATTACGATCACATTGCATGTAATGATGAAAATAATGCGATATAATTATTTTTTAAATTGTCCAAGAATTACATTTGTTTCATTTGCTTATTGAATAATCTGTTTATGGCGATAAAATGTGTCGTTAGAGAATCTGCTTCCAATTAATATGGTGTTTAATAATACACTGAAAAAAAAAAAAAAATCTTAATTTCAAAGAAATATCTTTTTGCTCGTATTCAAAAAAATTATTTTTTTGGATCAATGAAAATTTCTTCGAAAATACAATATCTTATTTTCAAAGAAATTTTTATTGATCCAAAGAAATAATTTTTTTGAATACGAGCAAAGAGATATTTCTTTAAAATTAAGATTTTTTTTCAATGTAGGATTCTAAACAAATTAATTATCAACAAGGAAGAATTATACATACAGAAAATGTTTTTTTGTATTTTTATGAAATTATTTTTTATTAAATATTTTTATTAATATTGTAGCGAATTTGCTGTAACTAAATAAATTTCAAATTACGGTTACCCTCACATTTTTTAGTTCTAAAGTGTTTTTTTTTTCCGGAATGGTAGTTTAAGATTATCTATATAATTCTATAATTAATTTCTATAGTAATAGCAATGATGCTAATGATCTATCTACTGTATATCTTGATTAACAATAAATGACACGCCATCAGTAATGGATATTTTGTTACAGGCATTGACCCTTACTACGTTTGGCTTCCTGCAGTCTCGTTGAGAAACAATCGATCCCGGTTCCGCAGTCAAGCATCAAATTGGCGCAAAAAATTTCACTGTACCAACAATTGCGGGAGTTGTTTTACACATCGCGGTTCCCTAACGAGGCATCTGCGTTACGAGTGCCAACAGAATCCGCGCTTCAAATGCCCGACCTGTGATTTCCGCTCAAGATGGACGTCTGATGTCTATAAGCACGTGCGCAGAAAGCACCAAGGCACTACCGTGCGTTGTATCGATATTGGCAGAAATTGAAAAAATGAACCTTTCTTTAGTACTAGACAACTTTACATACTATGTGGATAAACTAGGAGATTGCATTTAATTAGGATATATTGTTACTCAAATAAAAATTTTGCAAACCGATGCAATACCTCATCATGTTTTATTACACTGTATTATTCCAAAAAATTCTAGGTTTCGTATACTCTTAGTATTAGATGTACTGTAATATTTCTGCAATGATATATTTTTTGATTACTAACATCATCTTAGTTTAAATCAGTTCATTGTCTTAATGTAGTTCTTCCTTTTTTTACTGAATTCCTTCCTCATGTTTCCAGTATAAAATAATATTTAAGAGATTTTAAGTAAAATCACAAATAAATTTAATGTTGATGAGCATTGTGTTTTTAAATTTTTAAATATTATTTAGTTTTTGTTCATCTTGCTGATCATCTTGCTAATTGAAGCGAATCTGTGTGCAATTAAATGATATTCTACTATTGTACAATTGTTTAATTGTTGTAATTGTCTCTGCTATTTTTTATTGTAATATTCTTAATTTAGAAGACACATTTTAAAATACGATTTATATAGATACCATTTCTACAAAGATAAAGTGAGTTTACAAAATTGAATGAAATGCTTTATGTATTTTCTCAATTTTATATATTTTCTAAATTTTTTAACGAAAGGTTATATGTTGGAATAGTTTTAATATGAAAAATTTTCTGAAATATTGCTGAAGCTATTAATTCCTTTTATTTTAATTACATCAAGACGATGCCATGCGATTTCATCATTCGTATTTATAGT